CCACCAAAGAGCTCCTGAGCAGCTTCACAGCATCCTTAACTATAAAATTTCCTTTTTCCATAAAAAAAAAAGGTCCCCTTAATCCAAGATTACCCTGCTGCCAACCCACCCCGAAAGGAGAACGCTCGAGAGCAACAGCTGGGGTGCAGCTAGGAGAGATAAAATGCACAATATAATCAGCCTTACCCTATTTGCAGTGATGGCACTGAAGTGGAAGAAGATTAAAGAGCTCAGGCCTCCGAGGGAGCCTCGAGCAGAGGCAGGATTAGGGAAGTTTCCTATCCCAGGTTCGGATTTAGCCGTGGCACAGGAGCTCCCAAGCCTCCCCAGCACGGGGAAAGCAGGATGAGGAAGGTTGGGAAAGCAGGATGAGGAAGGTTGGGAAAGCAGGATAAGCCCCCCAAAAATCCCTTTGGACAGGCAGAGCCCCAGCCCGGAGCAGGAACAAAGGAGGGAAGCTGAAAGGGAGAGCCTGGGGGGAGGCAGCAGCACGGCGGGGCCAGCCCCACCTGCAGGGAATGATGGAAATGGGATCCAGAACTGGGATTGGGATCCTAGAGTGGGAATGGGATCCCAGACTGGGAACAGAAACCATCACTGGGATTGGGATCCTGTACTGGGAATGGGACCCAGCATTGGGAATGGGATCCTGCACTGGGAACGGGATCCTGCAGTGGGAATGGGATCCAGAACTGGGAATGGGATCCTGTACTGGATATGGGATCCTGCACTGGGAATGGGATCCAGAACTGGGGAGGGTATCCTGCACTTGGAATGGGATCCTGCAGTAGGAATGGGATCCTGCACTGGGAGTGGGACCCAGCACTGGGAATGGGATCCTGCACTGGGAACACAAATCATCACTGGGAATGGGATCCTGCAGTGGGATTGGGATCCATTACTGGGAATGGGATCCTGCAGTGGGATTGGGATCCATCACTGGGAATGGGATCCTGCAGTGGGATTGGGATCCATCACTGGGAATGGGATCCTGCACCGGCTATGGGATCCCACACTGGGAACGGGATCCTGTACTGGGAATAGGATCCAGCAGCTCCCAGACCTCGTCCCAGCCCTGCAGATGCAGATGGCTGAAGCCCTGCAGGAGGAATTGCTGAAGGCCTGCAGGAGGAATTGCTGAAGCCCTGCAGGAGATGGCCGAAGCCCTGCAGAGCTCATCCCTGCTCTTCCTGCTGTCAGCCCAGGAGCTGATCCCTACATCTCCAAGGGAAATATTTACCCAAGTGATTGAAGGCAGAGATTAACTCCCATTGTGAAGCCAAACCATGAATCCCACCTAGCAAGAAGGTGATAAAGGGTTTAAACTAAGCTTTATTTTTTGTGCCTTCTACAGTGCTGCTGTTTATTTTCCTTTGACAAGCCTCTCATTGAAATTCCCTACGTTTCATCTGAAGGATCACTGCAAAGACTCCCCACGAGCTACTGGAATAAGCAAGGGAATAAACATGATGTTGTTTTAAGCATTGAAAAGGGAAGGGGGAAAGTATTTTTTTAAGCTGCAGTTAAGTTCCAGAGAGACAAATTAAAGGCAAATTGGGTAATGTAAGTGCAGGATAAGAGCAGGGCTCTGCAGGAGGAGCAGTGAGGGTCAGCTAGCCCTTGTCTGCAGCACTGAGTCTCTGTCTCCCACCTGCCTCAAACCCTGAAAACACCAAGAATTTAAAAAGGCTGCCTCATTACATGCCCAGGAACATTCCAGTTCCACAGAAACACGGTTCAGAGGAATGACAAGTCAGTTTTGTGAGAAGGCTGACGAGCTCAAAAGGATGGGCAGAGAAAAGGGTTCACATTTTCCAGGAGCTCCCAGCCTGCACAGTTCTGCAGCACCTCCCCAGACAAGGTGGTTTAAGTACACTAGCAACACATGAAATCCAAGCTACAACCTCCAAAGTTCATGGCTGGAATATTTTAAGTCCCAGCTACTTGGTCAGGAAATTCAAGCCTTGGAGGACCCCATTAATTCACTGTCAGATCCTTGCCAGAACAACTCCTGAGCACGCTGCAAAACAGAAAGGGGTTGTATTCCCAGTTTTTAAACCTCTCTAAGCCTCCCTGTTAAGCTTTTAATAGACTGCTTGACATATGTATGACTTCATTATAATCCTTTTAATTTCCCATTCAATGAGCCAAGTCAGGGACATCCCACCTCTGAAGAAAAAAAATAAATAAAGCCAAGCAGCAGGTTGATGGGGAAGCCCCACCTGAGAGAGAGCCAGCATGAAATCAGCATTTTGCAGACAGAAAAGGTCCCTGCTTTTCCTTGTGGCCCCCAGAGGAGCTCCCAGGGCATTCCCAGGGCTGCAGCAGCTCCAACACTCACTGTCCTGTGGGGACACATGGTGACACTGGGACAGCACAGTGAGAACCTGCACCCTAACCCCAAATTCTCCAGCCCTCACCACGACACCACAGATCCCAAAATCCCAAAATCCCAGGATGGTTTGGGGTAGGAAGGATCTGAAGCTCATCCCTGCCATGGCAGGGACACCTCCCACTGCCCCAGGCTGCTCCCAGCCCTGCCCAGCCTGGCCTTGGGCACTGCCAGGGATAATCCAGGGGCAGCCCCAGCTGCTCTGTCTGGAATTCCCAGAGTTTCTCAGCACTTTCAGCACCTGGGAAATTTCTTTCTGCTCTTTGAACAGCTCAGGAGCTGAGATTGTGCAGCTGCTCAGCTCCTGAGCAGTAGGAAGCTGCAAATTCCTCATCTGAAAGAGCAGCAGGACCTGCAGAAAAAAATCAAACCTCATCCCCTACTCCAGGAGCTGGGGAAGCTCCAATGCCCTGGAACAGCCTCTGTCCCCCCAGGACCAGGGACGGAGACCCCCCAGCTGTCACATCACCTTCCCCATCCACCTTCCCCCCAAAACAGCCACCCCACAGCTCAGGGAGGCTCCCACAAACCTCCGAGTCACAGAGGAACTCAGCAAAGCTGCTCAATTATTCACTTGGCTGCTGCTTTGAGACTGGAGCCACGGGAAACATGAAGTCCCCAGCAGTGAGCATGGCTGGGTGCACCCCCTCTGAGGAGCCTGAAAAGCTCTGCCTGAAGCCCAGGAAGGATAAAAGCCTCTGTGAATAAAAATTTGTACCAAGAGGGAAACACACAGGCAGGTAAAAGAGGAAAGCCAGGAGAAAAGTTCTAATCAGAAGAACATACCTGTAGTTGTCCTATTTACAAAATGCTACACAGAATAAACAGATTTTGGGTTGGTTTTGTTGGGTTTTTTGTTTGGGTCGGGGGGATTTTTAAATTATTTTCTCCCACAAATCTTTGTCCTCTGGGTTCTCCATCCCTTCATGCCCAGCCTGGATTTGTGTTTGGGATTGTCCCAGCCCAGGTGCAGAACTTTGCTTTTGGCCTGGTTGAGCCTCCTGAGGTTGGCACAGTCCCAGTTCTCCAGGCTGGCCTGATGCCTTAAGTGTTGCCTTTCATATTTTCCAGTTTCTGAATTTAGTTATTTCTTTATAAAAATAGTATTGTTATTATGATTATCACCACCATTATTATTAATATCATTATTATTATTATACTCTGAACTCCATATAAACTGTTAGTAAGTTCTCCTCACAGTTCAGTCAGACAAAACAATCCTTTTCCAGCCCCAGACCCAAGGGCACCTTTACAGCTTCAGGCCCAAAAAGTGTAAACAACATGAATTGAGGAGAGCAGTCTGGGAGGATGGGGCTTCATAACCTGAAGCTGTAATTGGACAATTAACTCCAATATATGAATGAACCAAAACTTATAAAAATATGACAACTCGTGACACGGAGTCCATCTTGGGTGGAGCCTCAGCCAGGCTCTTGTACTGCCCAAGGGGAGTCCTCTGAAGTTTTTTACTCAATCCCTGCCCTGTGCATGCCCCATCCCTCCCTGCTGGAACTCAAAATGTCCCTCAGACATTTTTAGAGGTTCCAGGCCTTGGTCAGAAGCATTTGAGACCCTGGCAGGCAGCTGCAAACAGCTGTGGTTTTGGGTTTGAGCCATGGGATGAGTTACCAACTTTGGAGGTGGAACAAGCAGTCACAAAGGGTTAGATGGGATAGTAAAAGTAGTTACAAAACAGAGGGGAATTTTTTTAGTATTGTACAGGGGGGGTTTAGCACCTGTCCAGGGGGGTTTTTACTTTGTACATGGGGGTCAGGAGTTCTAAGATGGAGGAAAGTGGGCTGATCCTGTTCTTCCTCCTTCTTCTTCCTCACCTCCATGTTCTTGGTGATGTTGGCACTCACAGATTGGTTTAGAGTAGAAAAGCACTTTGTAATATAGGTAGTAGGTATTGGGGGAAAACTATAAACATGTAATATGTAATATATCATATAAAAGACAGCAGCAGCCCTGGGTGGGGAGAGAGAAGAAGACAGAGAGGATGTCAGGGTGTGTGTGTGCCTCTGCCTGAGCTGTGAGCAAACCACAGCAGCTCAAGGAGAAAATCTTTTAGATAACTCACAATAAACTGCCTTGAGACCCAACAGCAAGAGGCTGCAGAATTTTTCTTTGGAAACACAGCTTGGAGGAGGAATTTCACCAGCACATGGGACCCCAGAGCAAGGCTGGGGTTCCCACCCCTCCCTGCAGCTGTGACAGCACCCAGAGCTCGGTGGCACCAGCAGAGAGCCCGGGGTGCCCCAGCCCCACTGCCAGGAGGCTGGCCAGGGCTGTCCCACCCCGAGTGTCCCTCTTGTCACAGTGACACAGCTGAGTGTGACCATCAGCCCCTTCCCATACACCGAGAGCTCCAGCAGGAAACCCCTGTCCCTCCACCCTGGGACAGGATGGAGTGTGGGACACAGTGGGATGCTCTGCACATCTTTTTTGAGGGACAGGTTTGCCAACCTCTGCCAGGCAGCAAAGGACAGCAGTTCCAGGCATGTCCCCTTCCAGCAGTGCCAGCAGAGCAGAACATCCCCTGCAGGAACCAGCCCTGGGCTGGCAGAGGGACCCCGGAGACTCCCAGCACACAACAACTCGGGAGGGGTTAGTTTGAGACGTTTATTAGGGAGATTTATTCCACAGCAGTTACAGCTTCACATCATAACAGAGCATTGGAATTAATAATTCAGCAGCAGGAGTGACAACAGACAGGCGTGGAAGCACAGGGATGTTAGAGCACAGCACAGGTACAGCTCCAGGGCTGCAGGAGAGCAGGGGTCTGAGCAGAGGAACCCTCCCGTGCCTCCCTGCTCGTGGGGCTGCACAGGGACACCCACCCCGAGCTCCCAGTGGGACACAGGGATGTTTTCCAGGAGGGACAGAAGATCCAGCACTCTGCACAGACCCCCCCCATCCCTTACATCCTCAGGGTCCCATCCCAGCACACCCAGAGCTTGGGGTCAGGGCTGCAGGAGCATCACCCAGCCCCACAGCACACCAGGGACCCCGTGGCACTTCCCATCAAGGGGGTACAACCATGGGGTGGGGCATGGCGTGGGTGATCCATGTTTGCAGAGGGGACAGCCAGAGCCTGGGCTGGAGGAGCTGCCCCTGCCCTGCCCCATCCCACTCAGGGCTCCCAGGATGAGCAGCTGCTCCCAAACCCCTCTGCCCACCTCGCTCTGCCTGCACGTCCCTCTAGCCAAGATTTGAAACATTTCTGCCTTTCATTCAAGCAAAGCATCTGTGGGAAGTGGGCAAAGTCTCATGTGCAGGTCACCTGAAACCTTCCGTCATTCAATCTGAAAATATTTCGTATTTCCATATTTCAATCTGAAATTTCCTTCCTTACTTCTACGGTTTTTGGGGAAGGAGAACGACACCAAAGCCAGTCCCTTGGGCAGGAATTTGGGGATGGCTGTTCTCCTTCATACTCCCAGTTATGGCAAGGGCTTGGACCCCAAAATGCACCTATCAGACACCAGTCTTACATTATTTATTCTCCACTTCTAGGGCACAAGAGTTAAGCCCACTTAAGGCAAAAGGTGAGAAAGAACAATTGAGGAGCCAAGTTCAACTGATGCTGCCTCGCTTCAAAATCACATTAAAAAAAATAATAGCTATGAAAAGTCTTTGAAAAGAAAGCCAAGAAGGCAAGAATCTCCTTTTATGGCCACAGACACCAAAAACCCAAAGGAAAGCAGAACATGAAGGACTCACAGGTTGGAAGTGAGCTCAGGTCTTTCCCAGCTTGCAGGATGCTGTGAACCTGATGGGCTGGGAAGGAAAAACCCATTTTGGGAGCCTCCAGGAGCTGGAGTTTTCCCAGAAACAACACCACCAGGAGGAGCAGCCCCGGGGTCAGCTGCTGGGAACTGGCACCACCAGGACATCAGCTCCTGAGGAGGGCTCGGGGTGGGGGCACAGAGGGGCAAATTGGCACCAAAACGAGGAGAAAAGCGCCAGGTCCTGCCCAGGCTGTGATCCAGCGCTGGCACTGCCACCCGCCCCGGAGCATCTGAGGCCTCACTGGGGACACACAGCAGAGCAAGGCTGCCTCTGCCTGGGGGAGATGCCCAAAACTGCTCTGCTGGCACTGGCACAGCCCTGGCACTGCTCGTTCCAGCTGGGGCATCCCCTAAATCCGGGCTGCAGCAGGGACAGGGCTGCAGCGGGTACCACTCACTCCCCTCACGACAAGGAAATGCCATTTTTAGGTAAGTGAAGCTCTCAGCTCTTGTTTTGGGCAGCTCAGCCTCAGGCTGCATTGGGGTTTAAGTAAATCCCTTCCATCAGGTGTTGCAGGCCAAGTGCCCTGAGCTCCAGCACAGGATTCTCCTCATCCAAAGCCAGGCTGAGCCTGTCTCAGGTAAAACCCTGCTTTCCCTCTCTAATTATCTCCTCATTTCATGCTGTGTTTCATCTATGATGGAAAAACGAGCACTTCTGTCTTTGGAAAGCTTTGCACCTCTGTGGAGCCATTGGAATCCCACTGGACGTGCTCCTGTAGCTCTGGCTGAGGTTAAACCAGGCCTGCTCCTTCTGCTGCTGGAAAATGTCAGGATTATTTCAGCACAATTTCACTAAAACTCAGTGGTTTTGTTTCCCTCAGTTTTAGAAGGGACAGATTCTTTCTCATGGCAGGTAAATTTCCATCCAAGGAATTTTCTCCTCACAGGAAGCCAGAGGAGTGAAGTCTAAAAAAGGCAATTTCCTTCCTTACCTCTACGGTTTTTGGGAAGGAGTATGACACCGAAGCCACTCCCTCAGGCAGGAATTTGGGGCTGGCTGTTTTCCTTCATGCTCCCAGTTATGGCAAGGACATTTTGAACCCCAAAATGCACCCCTCAGACACCAGAGCTGATCCACCTGTACCTCAGGACACTTGGTTTTCCCTGATCTGTCTCTCAAGTCTACAAAGTGCTGAAATGATCTGAAGCCACCCGTTTGGAAGAAAACAACACTGCTACAGACCAGGCCCTCAGGTGAGAGGGTTTCAAAGCAGCAAGGAGCAAGGCAGGTACTCTAAAAGGCTGTGGTGAGTGTGGGGAGAAGGGAAGGGAGCTGCAGTCATGGTGGACCCATCCACTATGGAAGCACAACTGGAAATGTCAAACCTTCTCTTATGGAGCACCACGAAAACGGAGAGAAATTAAATTTAAAGGTGATCAAACCAAGAATGGAGCTGTGGTCGTGATTTCAAACCAGAGGCACAGTGCAGATCCAAAGCAGGGTGCACTTTTGTGCTTACACAGAGAGAGGAAGGTTTCAACAAGCACTGCAGAGCACAGGGAGGAGGAGCAGGATGGAGCCACCCTTTGGTTCTTCTACAGCCAAGTCCAAGGAGGTAAAGCAAGAGCTCTGTAAAATGCTGCAGATTTTAGAAGTGTAATGGCAGTAGAAAAGGACACTGGTCTCGTGTCAGTGGCAGCCCCAGTGTTAGGAGACAGTCTAGGCTTCTAGGAGGAGAAAATAGAAGAGAGGAAAAGAAGTAGGAGAGGGAAAGGGGATGGGGAAGGGGGCAAGAAAGCGCAAGTCATTAGTAAACATCACCATGGAGCAGCACTGCACAACACCCAACACCTCATTAGGGCAGCCAGGAGATTTGCCAAAAGCCAGGTGGAGACACACACACAGGTCTGCTCCCAGGGCTGGCACATGTCCCACACGGAGCCACCACGGGCAGGGCCAGGCCACCACCAGTGACAGGCCCAGGGAGCAGCACCTCAGGAGCACGGCTGGCACTGAAAACAGAATTTCTGCGAGCCACTGGTGGGTGAGAGAACTGCCAGCAGCTGGCTGGAGGGAAAGCCCAGCTAGGGGAAGTATGAGCATCCAGCAGGAATACTTCCCTAGGGAGCTTCTCACCTGCCAGCAAGAGCATGGACAGCAACTTGGGCAAGAGGCATATCCACACCAACCGTGGGATCATCCTTGATGCGTTTCTTTCCAGAAATTTGGTTGGGTTTTATTTTTATGTACGTATTTCCTTTGAACTCTAGGCAAATATCCCGCAATAAAGAGTTGCAAATTGCAAATTACACGTGAATTTTTGGTTCTAAGCGTGCTGTTGGTTTGACCAAACCCTCCCTGACCTTTTCCTGGTGGAGGTGAGCAGTGAGCTGCCTCCCCCAGCAGGGATTCCAGAGCACCACCGAATTCCCTGTTCCCAGCCCTGCATCCCCAGGAACGCTGCTCCAGCCTCTCCATTTCTCCTTTTAAGGAAGAACGGGATCAGCAGCAGGATTCCAGGGGATGTGCCCAGCACCCAGAGCTCCCCTCTGCAGCTCTGCAGCTCCCAAAAACAAACCCCACAGGGCCAGGCAGCGATGGTCACGTCGGGCTCAGCCCTGCCAAGGACTGCCCAGGAGCTGCCAGGGGCTCCCTGCCCAAAGCCTGGCCTAAGCACAGCCCTGAGCAGGGCTTGGAACACAGCCCTGCCAAGGGAGAAGAATCCAGCACTTGATGGAGGCTTTGGGTCCCTGCCAGCTGCTGCACCGAGGGTGTCTGGGGGTGCCAAGGAGTGCCAAGGAGTGCCAGGAGCTCAGCCTGGCCGATGCCAGCCCTGCAGACACACCCCACTGCAGGGGATGCTGCATGCAACAAAACCAGGTCAATCATCACCTTGTTTGATGTGATGAGTGGAGGAAAACATCCAGTAGTGCTTCCTGAGCTCCAGCCCAGAGAGATCCACATTTGGATGTGCAAATAGCTGAACTGGCCCTTTTCCCTGGAGTCTGTTTCAGAATCAATTTAAACCCAGCTCTGCTTTTTAAAGCTCTCCCTGCAGCTTTTAACACTGGTTTTTGTAGCAGAAAGCTGGCTTGCCTGAGCATCACCTTCCTCAGGCCTCTCCTGGCTGATCCATTTCTCTGCACACATCCCACGTCCCTAAAATTCATTTCAGCTTTCAGACACAGGGAATGGACCCTGCTGAAGACAAAACCCCCAAAGCAGAGGTGGTTTAGAGGCAGGGACCCGGGTTTAGGCAGCAGCACCTCTGAAATGTGGGAGCAGGCCCTGCTCAAGGCCATCCCCTGGTGCAGATGGGTCTGAAGGCCTCCAGTGCCTGGTGGAAATTCAGCATTTCTCCCTTCTCCCCCATGGAGAACCAGGAATACTGCAAGCATTCCACAAGGAAGGGGGCAGGGAAAGGGGCCATGAAGGAATTGTGTCATGGAAATCTTCTGTTACTCTGGCAAACCTAATTAATTTGATGGCCACAGCTCCTCTTCCTGACACACTGCTCTGCCACTTTGATGGCACTTTTAGACAGACTTGAACGAGAGAAGAAAAAGAAAAAAATCAACTCTACCCCACAAAGAGGGAATGTATTAATAAATTAAAAAGCTCCAGACACATAAAAGTATCTTTGATCAAAGTTGTTAACATTTAGTGTGAAGAGTTAAACCTCCACAAAGCAAGAGTGAGGCAAATAACAAAGAATTTTTTAAACACAAGCCAGAAGTTCAATACTAAAATCCTGATGCCTTTAATTATTCAGACCATAAATCTGATTGCATTTCTATCTCCTTTAGTTAGAAGTATTAAATAAGAGGGGGGAAATATCCTTAGGAAGGTTCAGGAGTGCTCTTAATTTCAATTTATACTGGATTATAAAAGATGCACATTTTCCTTTTGACCGGATTTCCAATGGCAAATGAAGCAGAAAGATCAATTTTTCTATTTCCATCCTCACTGAGGACACGAAACTCACTCACACTAAACCAAACTCTAAAATCCTAAAGAGAATTAGAGCCAAGAGGTGTTTTAATTCACCCCCATCTCCCAAATGTTCATCATTATTTCCTGGATTGGTTTTTAACTTGGGGCTGCACCTCTGGATTAGGGGGGACAACACTGGGAGCACCCAGCCAATGTTCTGGAGCTGGGATCATCACCAGGGAGACCAAGGATGTCACCCATGGTGACAGGGTGACAACTGGCTCTGGAATATTCCATTCCCAAGGAATGAGAGGTCCCAGAGCCAGAGGCTTTGTGGCAGAAGGGACAGATGGGCTGAGTTTGGCAGGAACCCCAATTCCCAGGCAGAAAGGCTCAAGGGGAAGGGAAGCAGAGCTCCCTAAGAGAGCACCAACCAACCTCAGCACTTCAGCCTGGTTGGAAAGGTCCACTCTTTTCCAGGTTCTGAAATGTTCACCCAGTTCCATCACAAGCTTCTGGCAGTCAAAATTACCCTGATGCCTGAAAAAAGGTCCCAGAGGCTCAGTGTCACCTGTGCCACTGCTGGGGCAGGTGTGGGGACACGTCCATGGTTGGGTCATGGCAGAGAATAAAAACTGCTCCAAAGGATGGGGGACGTGGGAGAACACCACTGTGGGGCACAGGGGAAGGCACAGGGCAGGGGACAGTTCACCTGTGGGCATTAGGGACTCTCTCCAAAAGCCATTTTTATCAGCTGCCTTCCCAGCACTGCCCATGGGTAGAGAACAGCACGCCTCCAGAACCAGCTTTTCTCCAGAGAAACCCTTTAAACTCCAAAGAAACTGCAGCTCTGTTTTGCTGCCAAGTCCTTGGAAGCTCTCTAAAGCCAAGGCCAGCCCCTGGGAGGAGTGAGGACTGCAGAGCAGGGGTGGGTGGCCCTGGGCAGCCCAGAGGCAGCACGTACCTGGGTGGTCCTGCAGCCCGTGGTCGCCGTTCTCCACCACCGTCGGCCCCGAGGCTGAAGAGTCTGCAAGGAAGCAAGCCAGGGGTTAACACTGCATGGAACTCATCTCAACCCAGACCTTGAAAACAGCACTGTGCAACTGTACAATCATTGAGTTGGAAAAGAGCTCCAACACTGAGCCCAAGCTTTGGTGGATCCCCACCTTGTCACCTGGTGGTGAGCCTAAAACCAACAGAAGAAATCATCAATCCCAGCCTCGAGCACACTCACAGGATTCCAGGATCCCTGAGGCTGGAAAAACCCTCTGGGATCACATCCAGGCTGTGCCTGATCTCCAAATTGTCCCCAGCCCAGAGCTCTGAGTGCCACCTCCAGCCCTTCCTGGGACAACTCCAGGGATGGGCACTCCAAACTCCCTGGGCAGCCCCTGCCAAGGCCTGAACTCCCTTTCCATGGGGAAATTTCTCCTGAAACACCACATATTGCTAAAGCAGGGATCAGGGGAGGTTTAGAGGAGCGTGGTCAGGGTGGAAGATCACCAATTCCAAAAACCAGCACAGAAAATCCTTATCACTGTGAGATTGAGTCCCTCTTGTCCTGACACCAACAGCTAAAATTTTAACCAGCAGCAGGATTTCCACACTGAGCTTGGGAAACCTGGCAGCAGTGGGCAAGGGGGAACACTTGGAAGCTGTAGAGGGTCCATTTAGATGATATAAAAGAAGAAGTTTTGTACAATGAGGGTTGGAGGCCCTGGCACAGGGTGCCCAGAGCAGCTGGGGCTGTCCCTGGATCCCTGGCAGTGCCCAAGGCCAGGCTGGACAGGGCTGGGAGCAGCCTGGCACAGTGGGAGGTGTCCCTGCCATGGCAGGGGTGGCACTGGATGACCTTAAGGCTCCTCCACCCTAAACCTGTGTGGATTCTGTGACTTTATGACCCTGAGCAGTTTTAGGGAAGCAGAACAAGCAGCACCAGCTCCTGCCTGGCCCTCAGCTCTGCTGACAGTGAGGAAATGCTCATTTTATAAATAGTAAAGGTTTCTCCCAAAGAGACACACACTCGGTGAGCCCCAGTTTTATAACAGAGCCACGTTACCAGGGTCCTTCAGACACAGCAGGGCTGAATCCAGCCCTCAGCATGGCAAAAGGAAAAGTATTTCCAGCTCCATCCGTGGCTCATCCTGGTGTTTTACAAGAATTCCCCACGAACTTGCCAGTTTATAGAGAAACACACCCCTCCATCCTCCAGGAGGAGCTGGGAGCAGCACAGGCACCCCTGGACCTGCTCCCCAGCACTGCCACAGCCCAGCTGCCAGGCTCTGCAAGGGCTGCTGTGCCCTGGAATGGGGCAATGGTCTGGAGCAGCCCCTGGGGCAGGTCCTGGCAGCCCCTGGATCCCCTAAAATCGGGGTCAGTGTGGTTGAAACAACCCTGACTCACAGCTGCCCAAAGGCACACCAGGAGTACGAGGGTCCTGCAGTGAGACCCCTGAGGAATTCCATGCAGGAGCTGCTGAATCCCCCTGGGAGCTCAGCCCAGCTGCAGGAGCCACACATTTCCTTAAATCCTGTAGAACCATGGAACCTCCTGAGTGGGAAGGAACCCACAAGGACCATCCAAAGCCAGCTCCTGGCCCTGCAGAGGACAGCCCCAAGATCTCCTCTGTGATCACATCCTGCTTTCTTTTCTCTCACAGCTGCTCCTTACACCTTGCACAGGCAACTGAGCTGCTGGGATGTTTCTCAGTCTGGAGGAATTTCTCCATGGAAAGGGTGCTCAGGCCTCAGAAGGGACTATCCAGGGAGGTTTGGAGTCCCTGGAGGTGTCCCAGGAATGGCTGGAGGTGGCACTCAGAGGTCTGGGCTGGGGACAAGGTGGGGATGGGGCACAGCTGGCACTGGGTGGTCTTGGAGGGCTTTTCCAGCCTCAGTGACCCTGATGTCACCACCATTACTGACGCATTAAACCCCTCCAAAGTGGGTTCCCACAGGAGCAGAAGGATCAGAAATGCCACTGCTCTCCTTGGGAGGGACAGAGAGCAGGTGAAGTGGTTCCCTTTACAGTTTCAGCTTTTTGGGAAGACAAGCTTCCAGAAAAATCAAGTCAAATCACACCAATCCAGCCAGCACGAGTGGCTGTTATTTTTAAGTCTCTGAAGGTCAGTACCTTTGGAGCAAATCGATCTGGGTTTGGTTTGCTGAAGCCCCAGTGTGAAAGCACCCAGCAACCTGCCCAGGGCCAGGGCTCCTCCCCTCATATTGCAAATTGCATAAACCCAAAACCATGTCAAGATGCTGTAACTACCTAATCCTCATCAGAATCACAAGATGGTATTTGCATCTGCCTGGTGGATCAAAGGATTGTTTTTTATATAAACAAATTTAAGGCAGCGCTGGCTAAACCGATAATCTGGAGCAAATGGGCAGTGCCACCACCAGCCCCTAATCCCAGGGGACCACAGGGGACAGCACCACGACCAGCACGTCCCCAGGGGCTCTGGGGGGGCTCTGGGGGGGCTCTGGGGGTCAGGAGCTTTATCCCACGCTGACATTGAGAGGAAAACGTGAGCAAAAGCACTGGTGGACAGAGCCTGACCCAGCTGGTGACTCTGAAACAAGGAGTGCAATCTCCTTCCATTCATTCCTTTCAATATTCTGCCTCAAAATCACCTGCTGAGCTGCCCCAGCCCTGGAGCCAACAGCACAAGGACCTGGAGCTGCCCCAGGGCTGGAGCCTCTCTGCTCTGGAGCCAGGCTGGGAGAGCTGGGGATGTTCCCCTGGAGAGGAGAAGCTCCAGGCAGAGCTCAGAGCCCCTGGCAGGGCCTGAAGGGGCTCCAGGAGAGCTGGAGAGGGACTGGGGACAAGGGAAGGAGGGACAGGACACAGGGAATGGCTCCCAGTGCCAGAGGGCAGGGATGGATGGGAGATTGGGAATTCCAGGCTGGGAGGTGGGCAAGCCCCAGCACAGGGTGCCCAGAGCAGCTGGGGCTGTCCCTGGATCCCTGGCCAGGCTGGACTTTGGGGCTTGGATCACCCTGGGACAGTGGGAGGTGTCCCTGCCGTGGCAGGGGTGGAATGGGATGAGATTTCAGGTCCCTTCCAGCCCAAACCATTCTGGGATTCAGTGATGTAACAACTGTGGGGCAGGAATGGGGCTGGACAGACTTTGAGAGTGAAAAGGTTTAAGGTCTCATCTGAGACAAAAATGCAAATATCATGATTTGCTGATTTATCTTTGATCCCTCTGGAACTCTGGGCTGTGTGGAACATTGTCCATATCCATTTTCTTATATGACCAAGTGTCTGAACTCCCTCTGGCTAAAGCAAACCCTGCTGCAAGGAAGGCACTCATTCCTGGGGTGGGATGGGAGGGAAGAGCAAAAGGAACCGAGGTCTGGACAGGATTTCAGCTCTGCAGCTGTGGGACAGAGGGCAGCAGGGCCAGCAGAGCCACCTCGTGGTGACACCTCTGCTCCCAGGGTGGGACTGACTCAACAAAACCAACCCCATCCCCATGGGAAAGGGCTGGAGCCTGCAGGGTTTAACCCCATGGGATGGGCTCCAGCCCTGCAGGGTTTAACCCCATGGGATGGGCT